ATTACATGACTTTCTCGATTTTTCATATGTATTAGCATGTTGATCTGGCACCAGGGGCGGATCTATGAAGAGGTGTGGGGGTGCCACGCCACCCCCGAACTTCGACGAAAACTCTATATATACATAGGTATATATATATATATATAATATTTAGATAAATATAAAGCGTCCACCCACAGAACAAAATTGGCTTGTGGTGCCACGGTAGGAGGGCAACTTTAGAAGGCTGATGTTGCGGGTTCGAATCCCATTTGTACCTATTTTTTTTGAGAAATTTGTTGCAGACGTTTTTTAAGAAAAAAAAGAGGCTCCAAACACGTTTTTTAAGGAAAAACAGCTGGCACAATTTATTATTATTTTTTAAAATAATTTTTATTGACTTAAATTAACTTAATTACATTATTACTCCTTTGTCTTTTCTTTTAATTGATTAAATACTCAATAAAAGTGTAATATCTTATTATTTATATTTTATTGATTGATTTATGATATATATCGAAAAGACGAATAATTTAATCAAATATAAAATTAATTTAATTGATAAGTCTATTTGGCACCCACAGACTCTAAATCTTGGATCCGCCACTGTTTGGCACGCTTGGGCACCCAAAATATTTTTCCTAACAAACTTTATGAGGACCTCCATTATGATTTGAGGAAGAATTGTGTATATTCCCACTATTTTTAAGGCATATAATTTAGAAGTCAACTTTTAGAAATTATGCGACTTTCTCAGTTTTTCATATGTATTAGCTCATTGATCTGGCGTCTTGGAACACCCTAAAAAAATTCTAATTTTTTTATGAGGACCGTCGTAATGAGTTGGGGAAGCATTGTGTATAGTCCCACTATTTTAAGACATATTTTCGCATTTACAAGCCAACTTTTAGGAAATACACGACCTTCTCGGTTTTTCATGTACATTAGCCCATGGATCTGGCGCCTTGGAGAACCCAAAATGTTTTCTTAAAAAACTTTATGAGGACTTCCATAATGAGTTTGGGAAACATTGTGTATAGTCCCACCGTTTTAAGACATATTTTCAAATTTACAAGCCAACATTTAGGAGTTACGCGACTTTCTCACTTTAGTGTGTATAAACTCATGGATCTGACGCCTTGGAGCATCCAAAAACTTTATGAGGACCTTCGTAATGAGTTTGGGAAGCATTGCATATAATCTCACCATTTGTTCAGGCTTATTTTCACATTTACAAGCCAACTTTTAGAAATTATGCGACTAACTTAGGTAGTATAACTAACTTCTGGAATTTCTCATAACTGACTGGGAACTTACATAAATATACTACAATAAAAAAATATTTACCATTTATAGCAATAATATTGTTTTTTCACTTGATCACTTCTAATACATTTATAATACAGTTTTAATACATATTACAAATAACAATTTATTATTCACATATAATACAATTTTTATTGATGGATAATACATTTATCACACATTTTAATACACTTATTATATAATGTGTCAATTTCTTACCAAACAGGCATTATATTTTAAAAAACAGTTATAATACATATATATTGCATACATAATTCACTTTTAATACATATTGAAGATTTAATATAGTATTGTTATGTATTGCTATAAATGGTAATAAATAAAAAATATCGCTAAAATCAGTAATTATTTATTAAAAGGTACCAATCCAAGTAATTTTTCCTTGTAACTAACTACTCTTATATGCTAATACTTGTAATATCACTAGTATTAACACACCCCCTCAAGCTTGGAAGTGAAAAAATGTTTTGAACTCCAAGCTTGGAACTAAGGAACTGGTGTTGAACTTTAGTCAATCCTTTGGTTAGCATGTCAGCCGGCTGCTCTTGTGTTGGTATATATTTTGTACACTAGTATCTGGACACGTGCTTTGCACGTGTATCCCATATTATTATTATTTTTATTATTCAACTGTATATTTATAGCTATAATGTCAT